GGGGGGGGGAGTTTGGAGTAGTCACTATACGATGAGTTTGCGCCTTCAACCAGATTAGGGTTATATGACGTTTTTTGCAATGGAGTTTCTTGTAGATGCACTCTCTACACTCTATTCTGACTTCATGTTATTATATTACCAGAGAGGATCCGAGAGAGGACATAACGGCCTTTGGCTGTAAAGGCCTGTGGCGTCTCTGCCAGAGTTACCCCTAGGGAAAACGAAGTTCCTAAGCCTCATGCGAGAAGCGCTGTGAGCCCTATGTAATTTTAACTTGCTTGAGATATAGAGATATAGTTTGTGTGTTCAAGAAGTTTCGTATATAATAAAAGTAGTGAATAACGATCCCAGATTCTGAGAAACCTATCTTCGTGAGACCCTCGATTTCATATCCTGCCGAAACAACATCTACAACACTACAGGCTCTCGTACACTAACGCCCTCTGAAGAAGTGGATCCAAATTACATACAGCAAAATCCACTTTTTTACACAATTTGTGATGCATGTCCGTACTAAATCCACTTTTTGAGTCTGCTAGGGCTTTATTCTCGAAAAATTACACATTTGAAAGTACGGAAATGTACCACAAATTGTGCAAAAAAGTGGATTTTGTTATATGTAATTTGGATCCACTTCTTTAGAGGGCGTTAGTATGAGGGCATTTTTAGAAACTCTCTAATAAGAGTCTGGCATTCCCATTCATAAAGTCAATCCGTAGTAAACAGGAAAAACATGGCGGAACATGGCTGACCAATCAAAGTGTGTATATACGTTCAGTGCGCGTATAAACTCTCGCCTTACTAGGAAAAATATGGCGGACCAATCAAAACACTCCAAAATAATATGCCAGACTCTTATTAGAGGGTCTCTAGGCATTTTTAGGCATTTTAGCGTTACAGCCAAAAGGCTCTCATGTCTTCTCTCGGATCCTGTCTGATATTACTTTTTTTTTTATGAGGGTTGAAGTGGCTGTTTTTAAGGTTAAATGAGAGGTTAGATTACATTTTGTCATTGTAACCCTATAAATTTCAACATAATATCTCGAATCGTTCAGAAATTATTTGAGTGTCCCGGAACTTTTTGGACACTATACACATACACACACGCACACACACACGCGCACGCACACATACACACACGCACACACACACGCACACACACACACACACACACACACACACGACATGAAACACTGAAGGCATAGTTACATGTAGATATGTTTAAATATAATTTCATTTTGCAGAAGACGACACTTGGAGATATGCTCTTGGACGAAAGGCTATCATTAACATTGGATGAGATTGTGCATATTCGTAGTGTGCTTACAAAAGCTGAGTTAGAGTCCCTTCCTGTAGAAGGACGTGTAAAAGAGGACGTGGAGAAAAGACGCGTTTGTTTTCTTTGTCTGAAAACGCGTTTTGGTCTACTAGGCCCTTGGGGCCAACGTTGTCGCTTATGCAAGAGGACCGTCTGTGTGAAATGTTACTCAAAAGTTAGTATGTGATTTTTTGATATATATACTAATCAACAAAATTATCACATGTAAATTTATATCAAAATTTTTCATAACTTTAAACAATGATAACTTCGCGAAAAATGGTCGTATTGAAAAATTTTTTTTATTCTTAAGGGTAAAGCCTGTACTTAAAGACGTTTTTGATCGATTTTGAATCTACCTCTCCTCTTAATCCGTCATCTTTTAAAAAGTAAAGACATCTTACGTCTCCAAAACAATTGTATAATTTGACGCCACGGAATAAATTTTTGTCGCAAATGTCATGATAACCATCGTAAAGTTTGAACTTTTTCGTACAAATTTAAAGGTAATTACAAATTTAAAAGTAAAGCTTTGTACGATTTTTTTCACGGAGGTATGTTACGGTATGTCAAAGTTATCGTTGCATTTTTGTTTAATTATTGCTAGCATTAGCATTATCTGTCTTCTGCACACAGGGAAGTTGCTGGTAGAATTTTGCGCATTGCGTGTGTGCGTGCTTGTGTGTATGCACGTGTAGTCAGCTGATTGTCGCGAGGGTACCGAATCACCACCCCTGTCTATCTTCCTTACACGTCCTGTAATTCGCTAACTATTTCTTGTTATAATTTGAAAACTAATCCTCGGACAAAATTTTGTCGCGCATGCACATCTGACCGCATACAATGTTTAAGATGGTTTTTTTTAGTAAAGTTCTAAAAATTTGGTGTGCCTTATCAGAGTTCAAAATCACAAATATTTGTATAATTTGGATGAAATATTAAAACTGTGTGAATATTCAATGAAGTAGTATGAAACAAATGATATTGCTACACCGCGTGACAACGACAAGGATAAAAAAAGTGAAGTACAATGTACATACATTGCTAACGAGGTTATACAATATTTTGTTATTTCAACATAAAATATCTTTCCAGAGCGACCTGTTACTCTTTTGTGACTATTAAAATCATAATTTTTTAAATTATTATAATCTCGTTTTTTTTTTTAAATCTTAAATCACGTTTGTGTGCAGTTAGTTAAAGAAGCGTCTCTAATCCCAATCTGTCACTAAGTTATACATGAAAAGTTACATTTTCAACATTTTTTTCTCTTATTTCATCGATAACCTATCCTAGAATTTTACACATGTTAAGTTTGGATTCAACTTTATTATATAAAAAAATTAGGCATTTCTATTGTAACTTGATTTATTAAAGAATCACTTTCACACAATTAAATTCGCGAGATGGGTCAATGACGGTCATAGCGTTTTAAGATTTTGGTGCACACTAAAATTTCATGTAATTTTTATATGCACTAGTATTACAGACGCGCTATTTAACATTTTTCACTTTTTACTATATTTGCTATACACTCTATCAATCTTAACACATACAACTGTCAAAATATGCAATGACAGCCGCTCGGTGCCAACGGAAAATAGAAAGGTCCAGGTTCAAATCCTGATTGAGATAATATTTTTTGCAAAAAATGTCTTTACAATATTTTTGCATCACGTTGGGGGAAGGAAGAATCTTGTGAGATGTTTATAAGCATCAGTATTATTCAATTGATTATATTATTTTAATACTGTGATATTATTATTTCTGGTTCAATTAAAAACTGTCGAGACCGAAAGTAACGGCGCGCAGTTTGGAGAACTAGAAAAATGTATATAAAAATCATGTGAAATTTTAATGAACCACCAAGATCCTGCTATGACCAGCAGACTGCAGCTATGACCGAGACTTATTCGTCTCGGAAATTTAATTGTGTTAATTTATTAAATTAAGTCATTTTTGAGATTTTAATTGTGCAACGAGAATTTCATTGTGCTGAACATTACGTAATTGGACAATGATATTTCTAGATGCGGATACCAACGGAGCAATTTGCCCGAGTGCCGGTTGTGTTACTCTCTCCCGGATTGTTACTTTCGCCCACGGAAACAGAGAATGGTGGCAGCAAGAATTCTTGGCTGAGAAACACAGGAGCGGTTGGTTCGGCGCCGGCGTCTCCCGCGTCTAGACGAAAAGATTCTGCGTTACGTAGCAGCACACCTGCCTCGACTCCGACAATGACACCTATTACTGCATTAACACCCACGTCGACACCACCTTCTCACGCGCGTCGAGAGATGGAAGTTCAAGGATTAGAGAAGAGGTCAGGACAATAACATATTCGCATGATAATCAACATAAAACGCTTTTGAGTTTGACATAAGAAGTGCAAAATGTAATACTGAAAATTTATAGTTCACATTACATGTGCTATAAATTTTTAATGCTATCAGCATGTTTCAAAACATATCATCAAGCAAGCATTTAACATAGAGAATAAATTATGTTACGAGGATAGGTAAAAGTAATAAACATGCTGACTATTTCGTGAAAGAAATAAAATGAAGATGCATGCATAATGTCGTTTGATAATTATATTCTATGAACTTAAATAGATTTAATTTTTTCAATTTCAAGCAATTTCATGTGTTAACATAAATAAGTTCTGTGTTAAGAAGATTGAAACAACAAGCAATGTCAATTTTTGAATTGCAAAAGAAATCAGTCTTAGCGAAATTAACTGCTATTTGAAGATTTATTGTTAAGATAATAAGAAATCGTAGAACAGGCATTAAAAGTCAATACATAGAACTGCGTGCGTACACAATTTCATTAAAAATATATTAAATGTTGGATACATCTCCATACATAATATTTATCTCGTTCGTTTCGGTTTCCTTCAGGCTTTTTTCAGCGATGAATGAAATAACAATATTACGCCAAAATCAATAAAATATTTTGCTCATAACCGTCAAAATGTTCCGCAATGTGTAAGATGGGCCTCCAATTTCAAGATTGAAAACAAACGTCATCTATATTAATGACAATATTGTAAACCGAATACGAATTCAGTTAATCTGTAATAATTTCGAAGCTTTATGTACTCATCATTACGAGAACAAGTAGAATACGCATAAAGAACTCACAAGAATATAACGTTATCGTAAAATACGTTAAAAGATGCATCTTAATACGTTTATTGTCATCTTTAGAATGTTCGCCATTTTAATAGATATGTATGTCATTATGAGAACAAATCAAAATATATAAATATAAATATCGTTAACAATGTTAAGAAAGCTAAACTATTAACATTATATTTATTTAAATTTCATGGCAGATTTAGTCTTTAGATTTTTCATTGCAGATTTAGTATTGCAGTATTTAGAGGAAAACGCGTTGTATTGGCGTATGGAATTGAGGTTTCAGATATATGGACGATATAACTTTCGCTATCTACAAAGAACATATACAGTATCCCTCAAAAGTTCGGGGCCACCTAAATTTCTGAACGGTTTGAGATATTGGATTGAAAAGGCTCTAGCAGGATAAGGGGAGTAAAACGGCTCCCTAACGAAATTGAATGAAGGCAAGTTTACCAGTTTTGAGGTGGCAAAGGAAAATTTTTCACCAAGTTTCAATTACCTAACGCCATTATTCAGTCCGTAATTGCAAAAAATGTGCATTTTTCGTTTTTATTTTATTTCTCTGCACACTTTCATGCAATTTGCATACAAAAATTCATGAATGTAAACGAAGTCAATCAACATCTACTGATTTTTTTATCGACTCGCCGTAATGATATATACTATTTAAAAAAAAATTATTTAAAAATTCAATTTTTTTTCTCAAGTTAAAAAAAATAAAGCCCTCTGGGAAAAATTTGAGGTGTATGTTCTAACAACCTATAGTGTCAATTTTTTCAGGCAAAAAAAATGCGCTATTAAAAAAAAATAAAAACCTCATTTTTACTTCATTTTTTAAAATTTGCATTTTTGTACGACATAACAATTTTTTTACAATATAAAATACATATTGGAGGTGATAAATACTCCAATAACGCAGTATTTATCTTTAGAATTAAATATATTATTTAGTTAATGCATACATTTTAAAGTTTTCAATTATTTTTTTAATAAAACAATTAACGAAACGAATGCAGAGTAACGTAGAGTTCTTCTATACTGGTAAATATGGCGTATGTAACGAGCTGTGGGCTTAAATAAAAAGTTTTAAAAGTAATTTTAAAACTTATAAAAATATATTTTCTATTAA